CGAGTGCGGTGCCTGACACGGCCATCTCATGAACGTACGGAGAAATTGTACCCCCAATATTTCCATTTGCTAATAGTTTTGGGATCAAAATTGATATAACACATAAAATACATCCCTTTTCATGGATTAAAATTTTTTCTGGATGACGACTTGGTAAATCACATCACAACTGAAACCAATCGCTATGCTCACCAGCACTTCAACACACATGAGTTAGCTCCTCACTCTCGAAAACACAATTACAATTATGTCACATCAGATGAAATCTGGACATACTTAGGAATTGTGTTCATGACAGGAATCGACAAACGCCCTGAAATTGAAGAATATTTGTCCACTAGGCCCCTATTTCACACCCATGGTTTGGACAAAACATGTCTTTGCGGTTGAATAGTTTCATTCTATTCAAAAAGAACACAACAAACGAAAAATACAAGAAGAGAAATTACAGATTCAAAGATTTTATATTGGACTGTGTAGAAAAATGACTGAACCAAACAAACAGTGTGGAGAGGGAGAAAAGTCAAGGAATGAAGTGGATGACGAATCTATTGGGTCAGACTAGAGTGCAGTCACGCCTCCGCCCTCGACCTTGAAAAGACCACCAGTGAAAGAGCCAGCAAATCGTCTAGAGGGTGGCTTGAAAATTCACAAAATGGTCCATGTTCCTAACAGTAACAATAAGAAGAATGGTGCCCTGAGAAAGTGTCGCGTGAGTGCTAAGCACAAGGTTAGAAAAGAAACAAGTATCATGTGTGCAGGCTGTGGTGTGGCTCTCTGCAAACTTTCATGTTTCAATGTTTATCACACGAAGAAAGACAAATAAAGAGGTGTGGAAAAGCATTTATTGCATAAAATATTGTATTTTAATTAGTTCCCAAAAATTTCGTTTTTAAAAACCAATTTTTGTCGAAGTTGTTTAGGAAAAAGTAACTACATGCATTTTAGCGACATAAGGTTTAAAGGGCCTGCCAGGACAGGGGTGGGATTTAAATACCCTTTGTGCCAGTCAAAGTGTTAAGTAGGCCAACATATGGAAGAAAAGTCCTGTTCCCATCATGTATTGGAAGTAGAATCTAGTAACTTTCTTCTTATGACCTAATCCCATTTCACCATCTGACTGTGCAACCCCAGAGATATTTTAAATACAAGTAAAGACTGTTGCTGGGTTATAATTTACAGTGGTGTAATATTTCATATGGCTTGCCAACTTTCACTTTCACTTTTCACTTTCACTTTTTATTTGTTCCATAGATCGTTATTGACAAACATGCCACAGGATGTAGAACATGTCAAAGTTAATTATAAAAGAAAAAACAGTTCCTATACAGAGCTTTGTCAACAATAAAATAGGTACAATAAAATAAGAATAGCCTACACATATAATAGATTTATCACATTTCTGCACAGTATGCTAAAATCAAGATATAAATATAATATTATCAAATATATAACATTATAAATATAAAATCAAAATAAAATTATAAAATATATTATTGTATTATATTAAAATATTCCTCTAATGAATAAAAGGAATAAAGATACAGAAATTCCCTCAATGCGCTTTTAAATTGTTTTATATCATTTGACAATAGTTTTATAGGAGCAGGCAGTCTATTAAAAACCTTAATCCCTGTATAATGTAAGCCTTTTTGGTACAGTGACAGATGAGACCGTGGGTAATGCATATCGAGACTGTTCCTAATGTCTCTGTTATGCCTCTGGGAGTTTCTTTTAAAGTGTTCACTGTTCTTAATCACAAATATCAAAAGTAAATATATATATTGTGATTGTAAAGGTAATATATTTAGTTTTTTAAAGTATTCTCTACACGATTTCCTATTTCCAATCCCTACCATAATTCTAATAATTCTCTTTTGGAGTTTAAATATTGTGTTACTATAATAACAGTTCCCCCAAAATATCAATCCATAGGTCATTATGGAATGGAAGTATGAGAAATATACTGACTTAAGCGATTCGAGGGACAGGAATGGCTTAATAGCTCTAACTGCAAAGCAGGCTGAGCTTAATTTAGGAATAATTGCATCTATATGGTTTTTCCAAGAAAAAGTGCTATCTAATGTCAATCCAAGAAACTTTACATTACTAGTATTTGCTATTTCTCTACTCTCATACATTACATGTAAGTCTACTAGGGAGCTTCTTTTGGTTACAAATTGCATATACTGTGTTTTATCCTCATTCAGGGATAACAAATTTGTAGTAAACCAGTTTTTCATATCTTGAAGAATTTTGTTAGCACAATTAGTAAAATCTGTTAGGTTGAGACTTTTCACAATTATACTAGTATCATCCGCATAAAGAACCATTTCAGCCTTATTATTACCTATCTTTGGTAAGTCATTCACATAAAGCAAGAAAAGCAATGGTCCAAGTATTGAACCCTGGGGGACACCGTGCTTTATTTCTCCCCAATTTGAACTTGCCTCAGGGGAATTATTATCTAGGACCACTTTTTGGTGTCTACCTTCCAAGTAAGATTTCATTAGTTTGAGGAATATTCCTCTTATTCCATAGAATTCTAACTTTGTTAATAGGATATCATGGTTAACGCAATCAAATGCCTTCTGCAGATCACAAAAAATGCCCCCAACCACTTTTTTTTCATTCATTGCCTTCATAATTTCATTTATCAATTTGTAAGATGCATTGTCTGTTGATGTGGTTGGTCTAAACCCAAATTGCTCATTTACTAAAATATTATTACCTTCAATATGTTGCAGGAGTCTTTGATAGATAATTTTTTCGAACACCTTTGAGAATGTGGTCAATAGAGAAATTGGCCTATAATTAGCTATATTTCTCTTGTCACCCTTTTTGAATAGTGGTTTCATAATGGAGTATTTTAAACGAGTAGGAAAAATTCCTAACGTTATAGATTTATTACAGATATAGTTTAAAGGAGAACTTATAAAGGGGGTACTAACTTTTAGCATTTTTGTGGTGATTCCATCATATCCATGAGAATTCTTTGTTCTAATAGAGTTGATAATTCTTTCTATCTCTATAGTTGTTGTATTTTTAAATTTGATATCAGGAAAAGGAATTTCTGACATCCTAGATAGATAATGGCTTATATTTTTGGTGCCCATTGAGCTTCCTGTATCTCTGTTTTTAATTTTCTGTGTAATATGTTCAGCTATAGTTAGAAAATAATCATTGAAGGCATCAGGGGAGTTTTCATGTTTACTAGCAGTATGATCTTCCTTTCTGTTTGTTACTGATCTTATAATGTTCCATGCTGTTTTCATTTTATTTGAAGAGTTGTTTATTTGCTTATTATACAAAGTCTTTTTAGCTTCAATGATTACTCTAGTTAATATTTTACAGTATTGTTTATAATGTCTCTTTAAAGTGACATCATTGCTATTCTTACATAGTAAATATAGCTGTCTTTTATGGTTACAGGAAGTTTTTATACCAATTGTTATCCACTGTCTATTGTTATTCCTTCTACTTACTTTTCGAAGGGGAAAGCTTGTGTGGACTATTCTTAAATAGTTATTCATGAATGTGTTAAATAAGACGTCTACATCAATGCCATTGTCATTAAATATACTGTCCCAGGATTCGTAGCTCAGTCTATTTTTAAATTCCTCCACAGAATATTTATTTATGCTTCTAGTATAATATTCACACATCCAGAAAGCCATCAGTGAAGGAACTGCTGTTCCAAATGATGGATGCCACTAATGTCAGGCTGAGGAAGCAACACATAGGCTGTTATGAGACTTGATTTTGAAGACAGTTCTGCATAGTATCTTCTGGGTATAGCACCATATTGAAATGGCACATTACTGATGGGGGGGGGGGGAACTAGCTGCTTCTGTCATATCAGTGAATGCAAAATCTGAACCATGATTATTAAATTGGTTATAAAATTTATGAGTTGTTTTGAGTGAAGGTGCCCATCGCATTTGAAAATGAGCATGAAACTGGTTCTGTGTGACCACAACACTGTTTTTATGCGTTGTTCTACAGCCAATCTTGCTTTATCAGCCATCTTGTGTAAATTGGCACATGAGCAGGAACAGCGTGACACTAGTGCTCTCAGGAAGAGTAAGAACTAATCTCCAAGATCAACTGTAAGTGTTACCGTGTTACAAAACATTGTTCATTGCATGGCTGGATATTTAATACTAAATCAAATAACTGGATCATTTTGTGTGCTTATCTGTTACCACCAAGGCACTACCTACCAATTGAAAATACTGAACAGATTGTTTTACATATGCCATCATACACACAGAATGCCCCATAATTTTGAAATCAAAGACAACAGTATCAGAAGCAAGCTTCGCTGTCAGTGAGTTCACATCAGAAACAATTCATGCCACTCTGTAGGACTGGAAAAATGGTGGATATACTGAGCATCTTGTTACAGCTGTATCAAAGCTCAAATATTTCTCAAGGTTCCAAACTTATGGGACGTTATGTAATTACCTAGCAACAGAAGAATGGTGGACATTCACATGTATTATACTACATATAGTCTCCTAGCAACCACAAGACAGAAAGAATAATAGGACATGGAACACAGAAGGAATTTATATTACAGATTCATGATGGTAAGGTAAAAGTGGAATGATCCCTGTGTCTAATTATGAACCATACCATAAAGAAATATTGGTGACTGCATTCTTAACCATAGCACTAGATGGAGATGAGTGGTGAGCTCCACATGCCAGCCACATTACCCCTAGGGGAAGACTCCCATCACCCACTGGACAGGATGCTCAGACCCACTAACTTCTGCTTCAGGTGGGTGTTGAACCTAGATTCCTCACTTGTCCAACCCATAGTCCAGTCACTGAAACAAACCTCATTCTTATGCATGATGCATATTGTATTGTCTTCTTGAAGTTGCCGGCACGTAAGGCTCACAACCTTACCGCCATCTTTGAGCCGATTGTCAAGATAATGTGGGTTCCTCAACGTCTCACAACCCTACGGGCCTTCATGGCCCGTTACAGGGATAGCTTTACTTTTCTACTTTTTACTTTTTTTTTACTTGAACTGTAATGATATCCTCATTGTTTGGGTCAAAAACATTATCATGTTTTTAATTTTCCTTTCTAAGAAATGAGAACCATGAGAATAATGAACCACTACATACTTCCCATGGTTGTACTAAGTCTTTCATCACAAATAAACCCACACCCTTCCACTTCTTTTCCAAACCACCACTCACAACAGTGATGTCATTTCTCAGTTGATACTATATGAACAGTGCAGCTGACATAGGAACTAAATAAATCGAGAATGAAACTGTAAGGATATGATTACTGGTGGAATGAATACTATGTAAAACACTATGCAAAGGCATGAACGTTCATGAATGTTTCGTTTGTTTTCTTCTGCCATCTGGATGTCATAATTTGAACTTCTTGTGGAACGACCGCCAGCCGTATGTTATTTGGTATCCGTTGGTGATGCGTGGTGTTGTGCGGTTATAAGGTGTTTATCGGTTTAACCCCTCAGCGTCGGGGGCATTTAAATGTTAGCAGAATGGCTTCAGTTTCGAGGAAATGCATGCCTTCTGGCTACAAAAAGGAAACGCATAATACCTTGCGTGATCCCCCGTGTTATGCGGATGGAGAAGCTGCTAATACTATAGTAAAAGAACTCGATATTGACTGTCATGATGAGATGGCTTTGAAAATTGAAGATGAAATTGCGAGTGAAGAATTCGATAGTGACTGTGTTGATGAGATGGATATGGAAATTAAAACTGAAATTTTGAGTGAAGAACTCTATATTGACTCTGACGATGAGATGGATTTGGAAATTAAAGTTGAAATTGCGAGTGAAGAATCGAGCAGTGAAAAGTCGGAAAGTGGTACGGAGAGTGAAACGAGTTTTGTTCGTGTTCATGTGTGGCAAGACGTGACAGTGGGCGACAAGAAACCCAGGGAATACACATTTACTAAAAATGCAGGGCCACAACTTAACCTTCTGCCAGATGCAGAGCCCACGGATTATTTTAATTTATTTTTCAACAACGAGCTTTTGAATAACATTATTGGAGAGACGAACAGATACGCGAGAGACAAAATTGCGGAACTTCAGCTAAGCCCGAGGTCTATTTGGAGTAGGTGGTCTGATGTCTCTACTCCTGAAATGAAGGCGTTTTTAGGTCTAATTATAAACATGGGCCTAATCCCATTACCCGACGTAAAAGACTATTGGTCTAGTGAATGGACAACACAGATAAAATTTTTTGGTGACGTAATGTCTAGAAATCGCTTTTTGCAGATATTTTGGATGATGCACGTGGGAAATGATACCACCGAAGAAAGCAGTCGAGCCATCAAAAGAACAAAGAAAGTACATGGGGTTATAGAACATATGGAGAAACAGTTTAGAAATATTTTGTGCCAGGTAAAAACATTGCAATAGATGAATCAACAGTTGGGATGAAGGGCAAAATAATTTTCAAAACTTATGATCCAAAAAAACCAACGAAGTGTGGTATAAGATTATTTGTATTGGTTGACAGTGACACTGGTTATGTTCACAGTATAATTCCATATTATGGAAAACTTACAGGTGACGTGTACAACTTGCCATACTCAGAAAAACCGTTAACTTCAAGAATAGTTCTTTCCTTGATGGACAAACTAGGACTCAGTGTGTCTGGTGTTGAAGGCTACCACCTTTTCACTGACAGATATTATAGTAGTGTTAAGTTGGCCCAAGAATTGGACAATCAAAAATGTCACACAACAGGCACTATTATTGCTGATAGAGTTGGTAATCCAAAACCAGTGAGGCAGGGTGCCATGAAGAAAATGAAGAGTGGGGACACTTGTTCCTACAGAAGTAGGAATGTCCTGCTAATGGGCTGGAAAGACAAGAGGGTGGTTCTCATGATGTCTACATATCATGACACATCCATGGAAAAAATAGTGACCATTCAGAAAGGGGGGCAGCAGAAAGAAATTCAAAAGCCAGTGTGTGTACTTGACTATGCAAAGCATGTGGGTGGTATAAATCGCAGTGATCATTACTGCGCAACATATGCTTTCATTCGGAAATCTCTGAAGTGGTGGAGAAAACTCTTTTTCTGGTGTCTGGAAGTGTGCATTGTAAATTCATACATTTTGTACAGCAGCCATAAGACACACATGGGAGTGAAACTGATGTCACATGTTAGGTATTGAAGAACTCTTGCTGAAAATTTAATAGGTGATGTGCGCAATCCAAGAAAGCGGTCACATCTGGGGTCAGCTGAGAGAGAAGAGAGACTAAATGTAGCGTCTCACTTCCTCTACCACTATGAAAAAAAGAAACACAAGGACTGCATCGTGTGCAGCAATCGGAAGGTCAAGGGGGCCAGAAAAGAAACATATTTCTAGTGTAAGACCTGCATAAATCAACCAGCTATGTGCCCTGGGGAATGTTTTGAAAGATATCACACTCTCAAGAACTTTAAAAGGGTTTAGTGCAAGTCTCGTAGATTTTCTGGTTATATTGTTTTCAATATTATATCTCAGCATCCTGTTGCACTCTACACGATAAATGATACACACTCCGTCCCAAGTGCAAACAATGTATATTATATGGCTTTGATCTTGTTCTCTTCTACACTACATGTTTCGGCCTCTATCGGCCATCATCAGGTGTATACTCTAAACGTTGCTGCCACACTGAAACCCAGTCTAAAATTTAACATTTAAAAAACACATTGTTATTTTTTGTATTATCAACATCTACCTCGTTGATATGTGTCTGGTATGTAGATTATATTGCACATGTCAAATTTTCCTGTAGTAGCACTATAAAATCTTTAGTTATGATTTTAAAATCCTTTAAAATTTTCTCTAAATTTTTAAATTTAGAATTTAAAATTGTTAGGGTTACTCGCCCTATGTCTAAAGTGCTGGAGCGGCTAGTTCTTGTTCCACACTGTACAGGTGTTATTCTGTGTGGTCTTCCTGTGTGCGTGCCGCTGCTTGTGTTTACTATGTACAGTACCTGTACAGTGTGGAACAAGAACTAACTGCTCCAGCACTTTAGACATAGGGCGAGTAACCCTAACAATTTTAAATTCTAAATTTAAAATTTAGAGAAAATTTTAAAGGATTTTAAAATCATAACTAAAGATTTTATAGTGCTACTACAGGAAAATTTGACGTGTGCAATATAATCTACATACCAGACACATATCAACGAGGTAGATGTTGATAATATGAAAAATAACAATGTGTTTTTTAAATGTTAAATTTTAGACTGGGTTTCAGTGTGTCAGCAACGTTAAGAGTATACACCTGATGATGGCCGATAGAGGCCAAAACATGTAGTGTAGAAGAGAACAAGATCAAAGACATATAATATATATTGTTTGCACTTGGGACGGAGTGTGTATCATTTATTATATTGTTTCGTGTAAGTCTCATAGATTTTTTGGTTATATTGTTTGTATACATAGAAAATTAAGTGTTATTAAAATGTACACTAATAATTTTTTAATTAATGTCAGACTTATTATAAAATGACTCACAACACCATCCACTGTGATTGATTAATAAAAGTTGTTTCACACTGGACAGTGTTGCAAGTCAATTTATACTATTGCTAGTGTGATGAACCAGGATGAGCCAAGTCACAGACCGTTATGACACACCTTTAGAGGATAACAAGAAATATGTTGTATGGAATGAAATATATGTACAGTGAATTCTCAGTTAATTGTTGTAATAGAGAGAAGTAACGTGGATAGTTACAAAACCACAGCTAACCAAATACCGGTATCTAATAAGCACTGTGCGAAGTAAAAATCCTGCGATGACCTGTAGAAAATCTACTGGTCAAGCTACCAACCACTAAACTGTAGAAACAAATGCATTTGCAATGGTAAAAATTCGTCATTGTGCAGGGATAACAGGTGTAAAGCAATAAGGCACTAAGTTGCCACAGAGTGAGAAATATATAATCTATTATGAATGAAGAGTAAAATTTAGGATACCCAAAAGAATATAGACAATTCCTGGTTTATGAATAAATACCACTTCTTGTGCTATTGTAGTTCTCGCTTTAACATTATTATGCTGTCAGTAACAGACAACATGGTGGAAGTATAGTGGTGAAGACAATAGGAAGTGGATGTATACAGTTGCATGCAGCAGTAGTTGGGCTAGCTTGGTTCATGCAGGTGAAACAGGCCTGTTTTGTAACAAGACGAGAGTGAACTTAGTGTATAGTAATTTTGGAAAGCCTTTGACATCAAAACATGCTATGGAGATCACAATAGAGACTTGGTACCTGCTATAATAAATTGATCAGTGAGCACTAAAGTTTTGTCACCTCAGTCTTTAAGTTCAAAGAGATGGCCTGTCTCCAAAGTACACAGTTTTATGACTCATAAGACCATAATCCTCATAGTCACCACTGTAAGAACCTCACATCCAGTTCAGTATTTGTGTCTTGTTCCTATCCTCCCTTCCCTATTTCATGCACCATTTTTCCTTCCTCACTTTTCACTTCTGTTCTGAAAGTAGGCAGCAGGTTCCTGCGAAATCTTCGCACCTGTCTATCCAAGTACATAACATCACATCCCAGAAGGCTGTTCTTAATGACAGATTTGTTTTAGCTGGTGAAAGTGAACACTTTTAATAGCACTAAGATAACATGGCTACACTGTGATACGGATTGACCCACAATTTTTAAGACACTATTTACAGTTTCTTGTATCAAACTTTTATGTGTAAATACACTCACGTTTTAATTGAAGGGTCCAGTGGAAAAAGGATTCGGTTCCACTTTGAAAAGCTTTCAGAAAATAACAAGAACTCGTTTAATATGACATGACTGTGTGGCCCCATATTCACTGTAACAGTGTGATGAATCAATTGAGTCACTATTCTTCCACTAAAAACAATATAAAACTGACTTTCAGCAGAAACTGGAGCCACATCATTTTTGCAGTGGCCCCTTCAGTTATTCCAGTGTCTACTGCATTATAGGTTTGTGCACCTGCTTTCTTGTTTACTTCAGGGTTGCTGAAACAGATGCTGAAGTCCAGCAACGCTTACAGAAGTGGAATAAATTCTTGGAATTGGGAGGCATTGCAGCTGGACATACATCAGAAGAGAATAAAGGGAAAACAGATGTTACAGAACAAAATGTAACTAGTGCAAAGGGCAGAGAATAGGAGGATATTACTAAGAATATTTATGCAGATTCTCAGGTGTGTTTGTCCACACATGAAGGTAGAGGATGCATCTAAAGTACAAAAGTGAGAAGAGGGTGTTAAGGGTAGTAGTGGTATTGTAGTTGAAGAAGGTGGTAGATGTGCAGAAAGCACTGATGACACAGAAGGTCATAGGAATGAAGATGATGAGATTGATGAAGGTAGGAGAATAGTGAAAACTACAGCATACGTTTATGACACAATTTAGTTAATGACTTCATCTTATACCATTCTCTGGTGAATGTAAGGATTTCTATTCATAGTGTAGAAATTCCTTAAATCTCCATGCTTTAAAGAAAATTACAGGTATTTACTTCACAGTCTTGTCTCACAAATAGTATTGGATGAGAAGATGCCATGAACAGTAAAACTATTAATCTTCCTCAGGTAGAAATGTTTTAATTAATTTATTCCAAGAAAGAAAAGTAACATGGAAAGTTATATAAGGACATCACTGCTTGTTTGCCAGAAACCAGTATTTTATTGAAGTGAATTGACCTTAACTGTGAATGCAGTATTTTTAGCCAAGGAAATGATAGATCACTAGCATTTGTTGGCATTGTGGTGGTTGTGTTTTTTGGTTTGTAAAATAAAATGACACATATTTTGACCACTGTTCACAGTAGGCTAAAATGATTCCTAAAGAAGTTGCTGATTTAATTTTCAAGTGCAAGAAAACAGCCTATGAATACATTTTGTGTTCAAAAGAAAACATGATTTTACAATTTATGTATTAAACAGCAGATAGCTGAGCCTTATACCTTATGTCCAAAAAGTATCTGACTTTATTTTTTTCCACTGTAAGTAATGGCCAAAGGGGTAGGGATGTGTCTGTGGCTGCCAGATAGTGAAGTGGTGTAACACGTGTTCGTTGCATTCTTGTTTCGCTCAAGATGACAGAACGCTTGGAGCAGCGATACTGCATGAAATTTTGTCAGAAACTTGGGGATACCCAAGCAGAAACAATCTGCAAAATTCAGCAGGCTTTCGGCGATGATGCAATGGGGGTCACCCAAATTAGAGTTGTTCACCTGCTTTAAACGTGGCCGTATGTCGGCGGACAGTGAGCAGCTTTCTGGGAGACCATCAGTGCTGATGTCATTGAAAAAGTGCGGACACTGGTCATGGAGGACCGTCATTTGGCCATCTGTGAAGTTGCTGATGAGGTTGGGATCAGCAGAGGTTCCACAAACACAATTTTAACTGAGGATTTGGGTATGCGAAGAGTGGTGGCAAAATTTGTGCCCAAGCTGCCTTCGCCAAAGCAGCAACAACTCTGTCTTGAGGTTGTGCAGGACATGCTGGAGTGTGCCAACAGGGATCCTGAGTTCCTGAAGACTGTGATCACTGGTGACGAGTCGCGGATGTATGGATATGACCCGGAAACCAAGGTCCAGGCATCACGATGGAAGCATTCAACATCCCCGAGACCCAAAAGAGCACGACAGGTTTGGAGCAACGTGAAGGTGATACTGACTGGTTTTTTTTTTTTTTTGATTACCGGGGTGTTGTGCATCATGAGTATGCAGCACTAGGCCAGACTGTCAATAAGGAGTACTACCAAGAAGTCCTCCACCATCTTCGTGATGCAGTTCGGCGCAAGAGACCGGAGCTGTGGGACGCACGCAACTGGCAGCAGCATCATGACAACGCCCCAGCTCATTCATCACATCGGATCCAGGGTTTTCTGGCCAAGCACGGCATTCTGCAGTTTCGCCAGGCTCCTTACTCCCCTGACATGGCTCCTTGTGATTTCTGGCTGTTCCTGAGATTGAAGACACCGCTAAAAGGCAGCCGTTTTGACAGCCACAAGATATCATACAGAACGCGATGGCACAGCTGCATGCCATTCCAAAAGAAGCCTTCCAGAATTGCTTCCAGCAATGGAAGGACCATTAGACTAAGTGTGTGGAGTCACAAGGGGCCTACTTTGAAGGTGATTAGGTATTGTAACCACCCAGATACAGAACTCTTCTTTCCCGGCCCAAGGTCGGATACTTTTTGGACAGAGTAGTATGTGTGACTTGTGTTTGGGAGGTACCTGGGTTGAATCTTATCTGAAGTTTGTACTGATGTTTGTAGGTTGCCCATAGTCTTTCTGTGATAAAAAAAATACATCATGACTGTTTGTCCCCCATACCTACCATTTCACCCGCAGACTCATCCACAATTTCATTCAGCAACATATGACCTCCAGTGTTATTGTAGTACCACTAAATAACCAGCTAGTCACAATTGAATTGATTTACATTTAATTTTATTTATAGGTGTTATTTTTTACAGTTCTATAAAGTAACAAGTGAAATAATCTGTAAAGGTACACGTGTACCTTAGATAACAAAAAAAGGAACAGCATTTACCAGAGAAAAATCCTAAAAGAATCTTGAATAGATATTCGGTCTGTTCAGTGAAATTCCTCATTGATATGTATAATTCACTAGCAAAGTAGCATTGATTGGGGTACTTTGGTGAGAAAGTTTGGAATTTTAATGTAAAATCTAGTGTAGAGAAATCTCAATTAAAATACACCTACAGATGTATAATTTGAATGATAAAACTTTAATTTAGTTTGCATATTATACACATACATTAGGCTTTGTCATGAAATCATTACATTTGTTTCAGAATGATTGTAATTTTTTAATTGTTTGTTAACATTCTCTGATAGTGAACTTTTAAAGTCAAGAAACTTACACTTTTCTGAAATGTAAAGGATGTGTACATTACTCAGCAGCGTTATACAAAGTACTAAATGCTGAATGCTTAGGGTTCTGCACACTTTTTTAGGTGTTCTGGATAACTCCATAGCATTCTGTGTCAACTGTGGCTTAAGTAATGGACAAAATTGTATGAACAAATTTAATTTATAATACATCTGCTTATAACAAACTCCTTACACAGATTTATGAGCAATTCCCAGCCTTCAGATGAGAGAGCCCTATTAGGAATTGACTTACATTTGTAGGTTGGATGATAAGGGAGTTGTTAATTGAACATAGTAAAGCTTCCATATGTTAATCAGTCCAAAATAGTATGTTGTAAGGGTCACATGGTTACTTTTTGCAGGCAAGTCTGCAAGGTGAAAGTACTATAATTATCAGACTATAAGTCAAGACTTTTTATTTTAATTCATTTACAAACTGGCTCTCTTATTTTCATAAGATAAAATATGCATTCATAGGCACCGCAGTGAGAACCTCAAACTCAACAACACCTGAAATTCTCCCTGATGTCATGGAAGCTTTCTGTTGCTTTGATTGGCCCACCATTTAATAATTTATGCTCCTCACCAGATATTTCTAATGTGGTAAAATTGAGGAGCCTCAGATATCCAGTCATGCAGCAAATGTGGGGAGGATGAGAATGCATACGTGAAGTTAGTAAATTTCAAAGGAAGAAACTGCTTGATTAAATAAAGAGGATAATATTAAAATAGTTAATAAAGCATAAGGTGTGGTGATGTGTCCATCAAGAGCCCTGCTCCAGGATATTAATTCCTTAGGTGAGTGCTGGAATGTAAGTAATGGTTGGCTTGCTTCTGTTAAAAATAATTTTTTTTTTTAATTATTGAACTTACAAAGATTCTTAAGCCTCTTCTTGTTGATAGTTTTGCAAATCATAAATGAGGAGAAATTGCTGCTGAGATTAAGCATAGAAAGAACCACGGTTGCGGATATCATGATCTTCAGGACATCAACATGGAGAATGGAACATACCCAGATTTATCATAAAGTTATGATCTTACAAGGAAGAGAATAAATATAAAGTTTATTGACAAATCACGTACACAAACAGTATAACAATTACAATATATTGAATGAAAGGTATCCGCTGTAGAAAATCATGTAGTGCAGTGTTACATGATGCTTATATTCTTGTATATTTGGGCCCTACTCTATTGTAGTCTAAGGGAGCATGTTGTGAAAGTGCTTTAGAAGACAACGTTATAATTAATGTCTCTGGAATATATGACAGGAGCAGGAATGTTCAACGATTCACACGAGGCAAAGATTTGCACTATATTGGATGTGTTATAGTGAAACCCCAGTGTTTTTCTGCTGTATAAATAGTAGACTGCACTGAATAAGATGGATAGAATATTGTGCCCCGATTGGACACAGGGTTTGGTATGATAATTAGATTTACTCACCACATACATTGTAACTCAACTACAAACTTTTGAGTGGTTGCCAAGTAAAGATGAGCAAGATGAACAATCTCACATCCCAACTATGCTTTCAGGAACATGATCCTTTATATAGCACCTCTTAGGTCTGTTTTCTGCCTCCTTTCAGTCCTTTTGTTCCTTTGTCGTGCATGGTTTGCCTCAGTTAATTCTGCTTCCAGGGACTTCGTTGTTTTTGTGCCATTTCTCAGGCATGTTTCTTTCTTCCATGGCTCCCTGTTGTACCTATTCTATACCTAGTTCTTATTGACTTTGCTTACAGTGACTCAATCCTTTCTGTGCTGGCTGTGAGGTCTGTTTTCATCTTCCGGTTCTCCTGGTTGTACCTCTTCCATGCACAGTTTGTCTCATTCAGTTCCTCTTCCAGTGACTGGATTCTCTGTATGGCAGCTCTCAGGTCTATTTCCATCATGTTTTCCTTGATATTGTATCTCTTCCATCGGGAGTTTGCCTTATCCAATTTCAGTTCCAGGGAGGTGTTCTTTTTTTTGGAATCTGTCAGGTGTCTTTGCAGCCTCATTTTCTCCCCTCTATAGCTGTTCTGCGCACCCTTTACCTTAATCAGCTCTGCTTCCAAGGACTCCATCTTTTCAATGGCAGCTCTCAGATCTGATTGCAACTTTGTTTTCTCCAAATCATAGTTCATCTGTTTACGTTTTACCTCACTCAGTTCCTTTTCCAAGTTGTCGACCCTGCAAGTATATTGGTAATATGAAACATCAGCTGAGTTTGGGCAACTCTCTTCAGTACGCTGAAATTGTTCATCGCTCGCTACATATTCAGTACAGAGTGATGGTGATACATAAGAATATCCCCTGAATATCTCGTTACAGTCTGGAGGTATAGTAGCAGGTGAGTGAGCAGGAATATTCTCTTCAAATTCTTCATGAAGGTTGCTGTCATTTGATTCTTTGGGTGATAATGGTGCCAAAATTTTCCTCTGTTCAAGATCAGACCAGTTTATTCCCTTTAAGAATGGATGCCTTTTGAGTTCCTTAGCATCATCTTTTCCTCCGCCTAAACGCTTTCTTGGATCCTTGACTAATAATTTAGAGATGAAATCTGCCGCATGAAAGGATAAGTCATCTGGGATACAGAGTTTAGTAGTAACTATTCTCGAAGCAATTTCCTCATCTGTCTCTGATTCTCTTTGACGTTCAAAGGGTGACTCCCCTGTGAGGAGTTTATATGTGACGATACCAAGACTCCACCAATCCGCAGCCATATCATAGCCGGCGTCACTTACTACAATCACTTCTGGAGCCATGTACTTCAGTGTGCCACACCTTGAATATGTTTTACGCCACTCGTTTGGAAGGAACATCCTGCTGAGACCGAAGTCTGTAAGGACTGCATGTCCGTGTAAGTCCAGCAAAATGTTCTCCGGCTTAACATCCCGGTGGATGATACCCAACCTGTGAAGGTATTCCAATGCCAGAATAGTCTCACTGATGTAAAATCTTACCACATCTTCTGATAATTTTCTGCCGTAAGAATGGTTAAGTAGGTCCCCTCCACATATGTAATCCAGAACAAGGTATAATTTGGTGTCAGTTTGGAAAGCGTAATGGAGACTGGTGAAGAAGGGATGTTTGCCCACCACCTCCAACACATTACGCTCTGTCATTATGTATTGACTGACGTCTTCTTCAATGACCGAAGCTTTCTTTATCACCTTCATTGCATAAAATCGGCCATCATCCGTACCACCCCTCTTTTGAACCAGGAACACGTTTGCAAACCCACCGATTCCCAGAATTTGGAGAAAGTCGAACTGTGTTGGATCTGCTCCATCTGTCCTGGTCAGACTCCTGTTCGTTATTTTGGCGCTATTTTCCAGACCATCTATTTTGTCATGTTTCTGATCATCCAGCTTCTCTTTCAATTCATTTATGATTTTGTTCTTTGCCAGTATATGTTTTCTGAACTCCATAACCTGGCAAGCCATTTCGTCCATAATTCTTTTTATGCAGTTGTCCCTCTCCCAGATTTCTTCTTCTAATTCCTGTATTCTATCAACTGCTTCTGCAAGCTCTGAACTGCGGTCACGTAGATCCCGCGCCCCACTAGTCGCCTGTGATGCTGAGCTGACAGTTGTGCTTCGAGTTGTGGCGAACATTTCCGTGGAAGATATTGCTTCCGTACCTACTTGCACCGTCTCCAAATTAGTGGCCTGTGATGCTGAGCTGACAGTTGTGCTACGAGTTGTGGCGAACATTTCCGTGGAAGCTACTGCTTCCGTTCCTACTTGCACCGTCTCCAAATAAGTGGCCTGTGATGCTGAGCTGACAGTCGTGCTAGGAGTTGTGGCGAACATTTCCGTGGTAGCTATTGCTTCCGTTCCTACTTGCGCCATTTCCAAATTATAAGTCCCTTGCATTGATGCAGCTCCCCACGCTTCCATTTTCGGCAACGCGACCTCAGTATTCCTCTCCTGTGCCAAGTCTTTTAACCTGCGAAACCAGCCACCGCAGCTCTTCTTCAGTTTATTCCCGCTTTCCATTTCGTAGCAGATATCACCAAAGAATAACTGAATGATGCTACTACTCTTACATACCTAGGACATCAACTGGAAAATGATTCCCTCTGGTTCATGTCCTGAGTATGTAGCCTCTGGACGGACATAATAGAAAACACCGCTTCCAACAATTGCTCAGTTGCGTTACGTATTAAGTGGTGTGTTGCGTAGCGAAAGTCCGTGTGTTTGTTGGCTATTGCCTAGCAATGCCGTCCTTTTCTGGTTCTGCGATTCCTGGTTACATCCATTATGAAACAATATGTCTCGAGACGGAATCAATGTTGCTTTCATTAAAACCTCATATTACTGTAGCTATTCCTGATTATTTGTTAATGTAAAATTCTGTCGAGTGAAATGAGGTTTATAAACGATATCGCATTTGGGTTTTTAGTAAAACCGTTTCGAAATTTTCGCTGTATATTCTTGGTCAAGAACCCTGAAATTCTGCTTACAATTTGTTTTGTAGCATCTGCCTCGGTTAACACGGCAGAAAATCATTTCCGATAAATAATGAATAATTCAATAAGATTAAACACAACTTCCGAAAATATTTTCCATAACTGCAGCTGCATTCGTGTTGTTTTCATTTTGTCATATATTTTTCGTGCATCCTGTTGTGTTATTATATACGGTTCTTTAGTAGAGTCCGTCGCAACACAACAATACAATGGTCAAGGTTAAAATTAGCTTAGCTACATGTGTTTGCCTGAAGAAGGAAAATGTAGCTAAGCTAATTTTAGCTTTGGTCTCTAATAAAGAGTTGTCTCTTTCTGTTTTTTTTTCCGTCTAGGCTCCTCTTTTAATATCGGCAAAGTGTCGCGCATTATAGCGACTTATAAGTGTTATAATGGAAAGGGTCAACAAAAGCACTAATATTTGAGGGTATGACTTCTTTGCGTTTTGCGTTAATGTCAACCCATGTGTATCCACAGACTGACAAATTAAAGCTTATTTTAATTGATCACTTCAAGCGCTCTGCGTTAAGCCCAATTAGCTCAGTTTGAAGGAATTTTATCGTAACCTCCACTTTTGCTATGCTTTTAACGGGATGAGGTATCTTCCAGCAGTTCCTCTGTTGCGTTACGCATTAAGTGGTGTGTTGCGTAGCGATGGTCCGCTTGATTGTTGGCCATTGCCTAGCAATGACGTCCTTTTCCGGTTCCGCGATTCCTGGTTACATCCATTATGCAACAATGTCTCTTATGATGGAATCAGTGTTGCTTTCATTAAAACCTCATATTAGTTAGTTATTGGAGAGGGTGGGTTTCCCCATGCACTTAGACCAGTATTGGTCCATTGTGCTTCCCTCTATCATATTCTACCAGTCTCTATACCCTACAGATAAATGATGCGTACCATCAGTCCCGCCGAGCAAGCGAGTTCGGCCACTTGCTTAGCAGTGTCTATAATGCTTCCCCCATCTATCAGAGGCCTTAGAGACTATTATTGGGCGGGAAACGTCCTGGAATTTGGCTCAGTGATCTCCTTTGGAGATATGAGGTTCTTTTACGTGCCGTAAAATTACGACACGGGACACACAGCTTAAAGTCCCTCCCGGAGGACTTGTTCCCTGATTTTTTCCGCCCTTAAAAATTCGACGACCTCCGCCGGGTATTTGAACCCGCTTACCACGAGTCATGAGGTGGGAACGTTACCTCTAGACTACGGAGGCCGCTAAAACCTCATATTACTCTAGCTATTCCTGATTATTTGTTAACGTAAACTTCTGTTGAGTGAAATGAGGTTTGTAAACGATATCGATTTTGGGTTTTGACTACATATGTAATATCTTTCCTGGGGAGTAAAACGCGGCCGGCGCGTAAGGCTGATAACCTTACCGCCATCTGTGAGCCGATTGTCTAGATAATGTGGGACCCTCAACATCTCACATCCCTATGGGCCTTCACGGCCTGTTACAGGGATAACTTTACTTTTACTTTTTACTATCTCTTCACAAGTTATGCGTCCCGGGGAGGAACAGTAGGATTCGAAGTCAACTATATGCTCCTGTCCACGGAAATAGCGTGAAACGTTCGACGCGCAATGTAGAGGGCAATGAATACAATTTCACTCACGTGGAACATGGTGCGCTGTAGTCGCTGTAATTGGTTTATTATTTTCTTTGTGGGCCTCGTGGCCTTCATTGGTTTGGATACTTTGGACGAATCATTGCCAATATCATGGTATCGTTCATATCTTTATCATAATTATAACTTACGAAATAATATTTCGCTGCCTTACAGCAAAGAAACTCGTCTGTAATAAGCTAAGAAGGAAGCAAGAGCAGTGTATATCTTATTTATGTTAATTTTTCATAAATTTACCGTCGTACGTTTCTTTTTCGTTGTGGCAAGATGACTGTTACGGCACGATTTGTAAAGCCGCATATCAACCTACGGAGCATGAAAATTGTTTGAGGCTTCACGTAAATTTATGTGTTGTATGATCACTTAAGGGGGTATTTTTACCATATTTGTAGTGTTAGGAATTGAATTTAAAATTTTATTATATGTCCTGCACTAAATGTAGCACAAACACCAAAATTAAATTGAAAAAAGGATATAAGCTGGTGTTTATGTACTGGCGAGGTTATGGTTGACGAACAGGACATGCCATTGAGAAGTATAAAAAATTAACAATATGCGAAGGCAATCTTTGTTCCAAGAAGGGGGTTTAGAAGTAAAAAATAACCAGCTAGTTCTGGCCATCCAGAAGAAATTTAAGGCTTGCAGTCTCCAGTTAAAAAACTTCGACGTCAACAGACGTGATTAAAATATATGAACTTAAAAACACTCATTTTTATTCTTAAATGATACATACTGACAATAGACTGAATACTACAGACTATGGCTGGCAAATGACAGACCCCACCTCTCATCAGAGAGGGTGCCCCAAACAGACAGGACAGTAACTTTCATACAAGAAACATCTGGTCATGAGCCCCAGCCAGGGCTCGATACCAAGACAAACAGACTGACCATCAGTCGCAATGTCACTTTGATCACTTTGACTTTGGGAGTTGTCTGTTAAGTAGTGTGGAAGGTTCCCACACACCATTTATGGCTGAGGTATTCTCTAACTTTTAATAGACCTTCCACATAGACAATATCCAGGGCTATCAGGAGTCTAAATGATGCCCCAGGCAACAAGAAATTCCAAAGCCCCCCCTCACCGCAGTTGAAAACAGTAAACATTCAAAAACTTTTGACCAACTAACTCCATGGAGCTGAGCCCTTCTTGAGAAGCTGCCAGTTGTGCAGCTACTCAAGAATTTCCCAACATTTTATGGAACCTGAAGGTTCATCACAATTTTTAAAAGAGCTCTCCATTGGTCCTTATCCTGAGCCATATCAATCCAGTCAACCCAATCCTCTCTCTCAGATCCACTTTAATATTATCCACCCACCTACATCTTGGTCTTCCTAATGGTATCATTCTTTCTAGCTTTCCCACCAATATCCTATATGCAGTTCTCTTCTCTCCCATGCACGCTACATGACCTGCCCTTCTCATCATCATTCACTTGGTCATTGTAATTGTACTTGGCAAAGAGTACAAGTTATGATGCTCCTCATCATGCAACCTTTTCTAACCACCTGTCACTTCACTTTGGTCCAAATATTCCCCTCAGCACTATTTTCTTAAAACACTCACTCATAATTAAAAATACAAAATTTTGAGGCACTGTGACAATTATTATAGCAGTCATATGTTTAAGACGTCAGCAAATTAAGTCACAGTAGGATCAAAATTAATGTTCATTTAACAAATATAGTTTGTAAAATGTTCCACCTCAAGTGGCTGCTGGCGTTACCTGGGCTATTGTGCCAGCCCTGATAATATATCTTAAAAGTAGTCAATGCCCTTCTCCATTTATTACTGAGAGTTACCCTGACATATTATGCTGAATGCCACTGCTGAAATATCACTGAAACTAGGAAATCAACCCAGGGCCTATGCTAATAATTCCAGCTTTTCAGGTATATTTTACTTTCTGTTTGCATATATGCAATATAAATATAAAGCAAGAGAACTGTAGAAGTCTTAGAGAAGTTAGTTTATTAAACATTTGCTGTATTTTTTTTTTATTTGTTTCATTCTGGTCCGTCACACTAACAATTATAAAAACAAACCACTCCATCCAGTGTGATATGTAAGTTTTTACTATGTTAAAACTTATCTCCCTTACATGTTTCGGTCCTTACGGGCCATCTTCAGAGGGAACATCATTACAAACTGGAAACTACCATCACAATAGGTGTTTTGATTTAAAATACATACACTTATATCCTATAATGCACAGTACAACACAGCAAGACACGAACAAACCCTGGACGACATCAAGAACCTCCTCATCAAAGCAGACAGGCGGCACAAAATCTGCCCCATACAAGAAGGACGTAGGAGTACGGACACGAACCTAAGTGGTTTAAAAAAATTTTAACTATTGACAATAAAGGTTTTTTAAAATAACATCTAGAAACTTTTAAACACTTTACAACACCAGGAAGCTGCTGTTATTGTGAAACGTTTGACTTTATGCGTACTGTGCATTATAGGATATAAGTGTATGTATTTTAAATCAAAACACCTATTGTGATGGTAGTTTCCAGTTTGTAATGATGTTCCCTCTGAAGATGGTTGTAAGGACCAAAACATGTAAGGGAGATAAGTTTTAACGTAGTAAAAACTTACATGTCACACTGGATGGAGTGGTTTGTATTTATATTTAATGTACGATTAATTTCAGAGCAAAGTACTTGTACATTTAGTATCCCTCTTAATGGGATTGACGTATGGGAGAGTGGAGGTATAGTTCCATCACCGTTTTTATGGCATGGTGTTTAATGATGGGTTTACTTACAATTAATCGTTGTTTAGATTCCCTACAGAATGGACAATACTTTGTAAGATGAGGCACCAACTAACTAATTAACATTAATATTACTACTTGTACATCTACATCACGAGCCTCCAATAACAGT